ATGTCAGTTGTCTTCCTCAGTCACTCTCCATCCTATGTTTTGAGACAGGGTCTCTCCCTGATCTTGGAGCTCAGGACACGGGTGCTGGGATCTGAACTCTGGTCCTTGTGTTTACGCAGCAAGCACTCCATCACTGAGCTGTCTCGTAGCCCCTCATCCCTAACAACCCTTGACCCCAGTCTCTCCTCGCCATCCCCGCAGTCTTTCCTTCCTCCTCCTCCTCCCTCCCTCCTCCCCCCCCTCTCTGTTGATGCCTCCAAACACCTCCATGCTTGCTCCTCTGATCTCCGATTGCCTTCGAATGATAGAACTCACACCGGCTTTGCTGCTGTTGTCCCATATCCTCCCGTGGCTCCCAAGTGCCTTCAACACAGTGCATTCTCCTTACCGCATCCTGAAAGGGCCTACCCAAGCTGTTTTTCCCACTTTTCCCTGGCACTCTCTGCCATGTGGTCGGCACTCAGGGTTCCAGAGCATGTAGTGCTAGCTCTCACTTCTGCGGTCTGTGGGTAGGTGAAGATGGTCCCCAGGAGGGTCCCCGCTTAATTCACATCCACTTAGCAAAGCCTTGACACCAGATCCAGGAGGAATCTCTCCACCCACCTCACGGCACGGGCTTTACACCGTTAATGGTCAGAAAGCTGTGGTGTCAGCACTCTGGCTTCAAAAGAAGGTGCATGCCAGTTGTGTGTCCTAAAACTCGGATGCGGAGAGGGGGAGAGGAACAGAAAGGTGAACGAAAGAGAACGCCTGGACGGATGGTGGGGCGTCTGGGATAGCAGAGGTCAGCCAGGGCTGCGGCCGCTGCCGTCAGTACCAAGGGCAGAGCTCTACCCCTCTGACAGCCCAGCACTGGTGATGAGGACCCTGGGCCCAGGGTGGCCCCCAGCACCTGTGTGTTTCCCCAGCTCCTCAGGTGGTTCTGCAGTGAAGCGCATGAAGGGTTTCCCACTGAAAAAGGATCACGCATCGAGCTGGGATGAAGGCCAGGCTCTGGAAGCAAGACCAGAGCTCAGAGACAGATAACCGATCCTGTTTTCAATCCAAACTTTGGGTTTGGGGCTTTGATTTGTTTGAGTTTCTGTTGTGATGAACAAGAGAGATCCCAAAGGCTAGGCTGCAGAAATTGCCAGAACCCAGGAGGGAGTCAAGGACTCAGAAGGTTCACTCCCTGGTCTCAAGTTTGCTATGTTAATGCAGGAAATCCACAGGTTGCTGAGAAAGGGGCTATTTATTAAAGGATTATATTGGGGGAACAACTCACTAATACAGAATAAGGCAAATTCGGTCGCAGAGTCCTGGAAGGCTGAGAACTGGTCCCACGCTGCTTCATGCCACCTGATTCAGTCTCCGCCATCCAAGATCACGAGAGAGAAGGGAACCACATCCATGCTCCTCAGATCTTGAGCTAGCTAAGAGGCCATGCCCTAGGGGCTGGGACCCCAAGGCCATAGGTGGAACAAATACCCACTACACAGTGTGACCTTGGTTAGGTTTGGTTCCCTCTCTGGATCTTGGCTGCAGAATCAGACTCAGCACAGCAGGGGTTTGACTGGTCTGTTCATACCCTCCATAAGCCTTTGTTGGGTGCTCTGCAGGGCTCTGGAGTTGAGTGACAGTCAGGACCAGGTTGCTGTCCCCATGACTTGATAACCTGGAGGATGAGGTGGACATCAGCCAGCAAAACAAGTCCCCAAATGGGGTGAGTTGTCAAGAAGCATCAGGCTGAACTGATGTGCGACATAAGGGGGAACTTGGAGGTCTTAGGTCCCCGGGTCTGTGACATTCAGTCCATACCATCCCTAAACTTCCTTGACCCCCACACTCAACAGGGATCCCCCATGCTTTCAACCCCAAACCCTCAGAGTCAGTTGGCCAGGCCTCCAAGGTGTCACGGCCTCCCACTCCTGAGCACCTGCCTGTCAGACCATCGCCCCTCCCTGCCTCCCACACCCTGCTCCCCCAACTTCTACTCCCCCCCCCCATATTTCTCTCTGCACTTCTTGCCTTTCATTTCTGACCAAACTTCAGATGACGGGAACACTGATAAATTAATGATTGTAATTAATAAAAATTGACTCTGTGCTAATAAATTATTATGAAATGGCCTGTCAGCATTTTAATGAAATGCAGAAAGCTGCTGTAATGAGATGAGTGTGTGCACTTTCTCAGCCAAGACGTGAGGGATTATATCCACAGGGCACCCAGGGTCTGTTGGGGGGGGGTTTGGGGGAGGGCGACAAGGAGACACTCCCTTGAGAGGGACCCTCAGGAGTGGCTGTGTCCTGCGTCCCCATCCCCCTATCCTCCCCTGTGTCTGTTCATCGGATCTTGACAGATCCTGGGTGCAGATACCGTCACAGCCCTTCCCTTTCGTAAGTGATGAAGCTGCCGTCCAGAGAGAGTGAGATGCCACAGTTGGTCAACACAGCATGGCCATAGAGCTGAGATCAAACCCAGCCCCTGTCCAGGGCTTTGGATCTGTTACGGCACCTTTGAAAGCCTTGGGGCTGGAGCTGGAGAGACCACATGGTTAAGAGTCATGTACTGCTCTTCAAGAGAATCCAAGTTTGGTTCCCAACACCATGTCAGAATGCTCATAATCTCCTGAACTCCTGTTCCAGGGGATCTGATGCCCTCTTCTGGACTCTACAGGTCCCCATTTGCATGTGTGCATAGAAGTGTGTGTGTGTGTGTGTAAGTCTTTAAAAACAATAAAACAAAAATATCTTAGCACCGAAGGGGCAGACATGTGAGCTCAGTGTCCACTTGGGGTGGAGTTTCTTGGCCTCAGTTTACCTGGAGGCCTCTGGAAGCCTCTCTGTCCCCCTTCTCTAAGTGTAGCACAGGCTCTGTGTCTCTGAGAGTGAAACAGACAACAGACAGGAGGCTCGGCAGTGCCCTCATCCGCGCACCCCCACAGCCTCTGCGGAGTGTTTGATATTATGAGGTTGTCCCAGCCCTTCATAAACTGGAGCCATGAATGTAAAACAACTGATTTTTACAACAGCATTGTTTAACCCTGCACCAATTAAAAGTACCTGTTATTAAAAAAGGTAATTATGCAGTAATTAGTTTGACACAAGACATTAAGCAGATTATTACCAAAGCCAGGGGAACGAGGAACTTCAGCAGCAAGTGTCCTCCCCCTCCCCACCCCGAGGCCTTAATGTAGAGTTCAGGCCTCACTGCGGCCATCAGCAGCTCGGGGAATGTGGACCTCACTCTCCAGAGCAGCGTGCGGCTTTCCAGTCGGGGAATACCTGGGGCGCAGGGCTGAAGAACACTTCCCAGAAGACATGTGTGTGACTAGAACAAACATGAGCAGAGACTGTCAGTGAGACCAGGAGAAGGGTGAAATGGGGAAGACCCTGCACCCATGACAGCGTGTGTGAAGCAGGGAAGACTGACCCCCACCACAGAGGAAGACTAACTCTTAAGAGTTGTCCTCTGACCCCGTGTGCAATGCATACCACACACACACACACACACACACACACACACACACACACACACACTCACGCACTCACGCACACACAGACACACACACACACACAGACACACACACACACACACACACACACACACACACACTCTCACACACATGCACTAAAGATATATTTTTAATTTCAATATACACTGGATGGGAGTGACGTTTGTTCTCCTTAGCCGTCCTCGGTGCCGGATCCCTCTGGACCTCTTTATTCCTCTCTTACTGTCCCCGTCAGTTCTTCCTGTATGCCTCCCCCTACTTCCTTCTCATTAACATGTAGAATTTGTACAGACATGAGGGCTATGGTGTGAGCAGCTGATACGTGCAGACATCATGAACACCGGGAAGCTGGGTGTCCACGTGCAGAGGATGAGACGAGACCCACCCCTGCCTCTCACTGCGTAAAAGAGTTGACTCAAGTCAGTTCTCAACCTAAGACCCGAGACAACAAAACAGCTAAAAGAAAACACGGAGGGAGAGGTGCCTTGAACACACGCCATGGACCATGGTGCTTGAGGATAAGCCCGCAGGCACCTGCAGTAAGGCAGAAATGGATACTCATGCCGAGAAGTGTCTGCAAGGCTCACACAATCCACAGTGGGAGGCACAGGCCTGGTAGCAACAGACTTGCCTCTGGCTTCTCAGATCCCCCAGGATTCAAGTGGGGAGTGAAGGACCAAGCAGTCTGTGAGAAGCCCCTGGGCCCCGCCCCCCAGCAACTTCATGCCCACTTCCTGCTTAGCAAGGCCACCAGTTCCCCAGGTCCCATCTCGGCCATGGACCAGCTGTGTTGTCTCGAGTAACTTGTGCGACCTCTCTGGACCTTGTGTTCCTCTCTGTTGGAGCTACTGTGAATTCCTGTGAGGTTATGGGAGGGGAGGCTGCCACGGTACAGGTCCCAGCGGTAAAAGCCTTCCTTAACCTGTCCTGTGACCATTGACCTGTGTCCCCCCCACCTCTCCTCATCTGAAGACTGGGAAATGCTACTCACAGAAGGCAAATGAACAGACAGACACAGTTAAATTAGTCAATTAAGTCCCTCCCACACGGCCCTGGGAGGACACAAGCAAGACACACAAGTGATGCCTGGCTCACCAGGCACGCCTCCAGATATCTTACCCCGCCATCCAGAAGTCTCTGCCACACGGTGAGACAGGCGGCATTATGCAGCATCATCCAACTTCACCCGCTTTACCGATAAGGGCACCACCAGGGCCCAGAGGGAGAAGACGACATGTACTGCTCCCCAAGTGGGAAGAGGCAGATTTAAACCGCCGTCTCTCTCTACAGCTAGAATTTACCCACAACGCCTTCTTCTCCGAGGACCACATACTCTGGTGGAGAGGCGGGTCGGGCGGTCAGAAGTCAGCTGCACATACCAGGTGGAGTAGGCGCTTAGGAAACCTGCCCTCTCCACATCCCTCCTGGGTGCTGTTTACCGTGTCTTTCAGTGTGAGGGCCAGCAGGTTGTTCCCCGCAAGGCCATGGATGAGGGCGAGACTTCAGAAACAGCACTAGCTCGCTGGCTGTGTCCTAAGGCCCGGCCTATGTCCTCAGGTCCCTGCTAGAACTCCTGCTTTCCCCGAAAGGCTTGGGAATCCAGGAAAAGCAGGGACCACTCCTGGCAGCGGGCCTCCTGCCCATCCTGCAGTTGCCGTGGCAACAGGGCCAGCATCCATCTTCTTGAGCCCCTCTGCATCCCTCCCTCCCCGCCACGTCAGATGAAGCACAGGGCCTGAGACCCAGCCATGGATCTCCAGGGAAAGCAGCAGGGGAAGACATCTAACGGCAGAGCTGCCTCAGGCTCTGAAGGGGCTGAAGTGGGTCCTGGGTCCCCACCCAGCCTAGGAAATTGCGTTCCTTTCTCTCGGTGTCTCTTTGGCTTTCTGGGCACACACTGCACATCGAGCATTGTGCTGTCTGTGTGTTTTGCATCGGCTGACCCACTGACTTGAGATGGAGGGATCCTCCTGTGGGAAGTTTTCCGTGACTACCCTTTCTCCAACCCGTTTCTGGCAGGTTGAGGCCCACACCTCCACACCTCTTACGTCTCAACAAATCTCATACTGTTGTTTGAAAGAACACACACACCCTTCTTTCCTTCTTCTTCTTCTTCTTCTTCTTCTTCTTCTTCTTCTTCTTCTTCTTCTTCTTCTTCTTCTTCTTCTCCTCCTCCTCCTCCTCCTCCTCCTCCTTCTCCTCCTCTTTCTTCTTCTTCTGACAGGGTCTCACTACGTAGCTCTGGCTGCTGTCTTGGAACTCACTCTGTCAACCAGGCTGGCCTTGAATTCACAGAGAGCTGCCTGCCTCTGGCTCCCGAGTGCATCTGGGATTAAAGATGTGTACCTCTATGCCAAGCCGTCTTCCTTCTCTCCGTGGCCTTGTGAGGTGGCCTCTGCGGTTCTCTAGCACTCCCACTTACCAGGTGAAGAAACTGAGGCTCACGGAGAATCAGTTCAGGTGGTGCAGCCTGCACTTGGACTCACCTCTTTTTCAAAATTTTTGTTTTTAATTGTGTCTCTGTGTGAGTCGGTTCATATGTGCACATGAGGGTAGGTGTCCCCAAAGTTCAGAAGAAGGTGTCAGATCCCTTGGAGTTGGAGTTACAGGCAACTGTGTGTCACTCAGTGCAGGTGCTGAGGATCTGACTCGGGTCTTCTGCAAGACCAGGAAGAGCTCCTAATGGCTGAGCAGTCTCCAGGCGCCAGCCCCACATCTTTCTAACCGCAAAGCCCAAGTCTTCCTGCAGCATCAGGAGGTGTCTCATCCCCTTCAGGCTTCATTTGCTGCTGCTATGAGAACTTCCGGTTCGCTGGCTTGAGGACACCACCTTCTTCCGTATCCCTTCACTTGTGGGATGAGGCTCTCTCAGTGACCCTTCTCTTCTCCCTTCCTGAGGCAGCTGGATTTTCCACAGGACACAGACCCACCTGAGTGAAGGCCTGTCACTGTTACATCAGACATTGCCACTGTGAGTCTGGGATTTCTCTCAATGAAATTTACTAGTGTCTGTGCTAGAGTGAAAAAAAAAGACCTAAGTTACATACAATCTGACAAAGACATGTGTGGCCGCCCCCTCTTTCTCAGAACAGCTCCGAAGTTAGGGTGAACACTACGCTAAGTGCCATGTCCTGCTGGCCTATCTGGTGGGCAGAGCCGGCCTCTGTCTGGGCTGTGAGAATCTACTGATGGCCTTTCACCCAGTAAAGCTCACAGCGGCCTCAGGAAAAAAGAAAAAGCGAGGACCTCACCGACGTCGCCAGTTTCGATGATGCCTGAGGAGAGACCTGGCATGAAGCACCCCTGCTTGAAGGAGACTTTGTCAGCATGGGTGACAGCAGTTCTGAGTGGGGAACAGCGGTGGGTGACGGCTGCTCCTACCGTTTATAGGATGGCTGCTTACACCATCTAGCTGATGGCTGTATCCGCCATGTTCACCATTTAGCTGATTGCTGTGTCCGCCTCTGAACTGGCAGCCCTTCCACCTCGTCCAGTATTTATCTGATGGCTGCATTCACCAGGGCCACCAGTGAATTGATGGACACGTCCGTGGTCTCCACCATGTCCATTGTTTAACGAGTGGATGCCCTTCATCATTTAGCTGCTGGCTGTATCCACGGTGCCCACGACTGAGCCGAGAGCCGTGCCCACGCCCACCGTAGAGGTGGTGGTGGTGGAGAGTCCACCACGTGGCTGACAGCTGCCTCCACCCTGACTGAGCTGAGGAATGTCATGGAAAGTTCACATCTCACATCTGACCCGTGGAGAGACATAAAGTTACATCAGACAATACGGGCTGGCCACAAAATGTTCTCCCAGCTCGGGAGGCAAAGACCCCTCACTTCCACTCACTACCAGACACACGTAACTTTGGGCAGATAGCTTTCTCCCTCCGGGGCTCAGCTGCCGCCAAACCACCCACCACAACCACAAAAGGACGATCACTTGAACGGACGCGTGAGGACAATGGGGTGATTCAGGCCAATAAGGTGGGACCCAGCTTGCCACAGGCCAGGCAGGCAGCAAGCTTCCGTCTTGGCTCAGGAAGACGTTGGGGAGCTTGCTACGCCCTCCCACCCACGCATAGCTGACTCCCGGATCTCCAGACGCCCAGAAGCACATGACTGAGATGTTACAGAGTCGCCTCAGTTGTGCTTCCAGATGTCCTGCCAATCAGCAGTGTGACCTCGAAAACGCTGGTCAGTCTCCGCTGCAATCTACAGAGATGTGAGAAGCAGATTGAGAGATGGCTTACACACACACACACACACACACACACACACACACTCAGAAGTCACAAGTGACCAATCACGGTGTCTGGTACTGCCGCCAAGAATCATCGTGACTCGACGGGGATGAACTCTAAACAGGGTACTTGGAGTGTCAGGGGATTCGCATCTGTTGGTGAGCTGGACCAAGGCAGCCAGTGAAGGCAGAAGTATATTCAAGGGTAGGAATCCAGCAACCCTCTTGTCACATGAGGCCTTAACCCATCTTCTCTCTTCCCCTCCAAGGCAGCTCCAGCCCCTTCCGAGTTCCTCCTTGACGCCAGTCACACATACATTTGGAAGGCAAATGACTTGAACGAATGTTTAGGAGACTTGATAGAAAATGCCCAGGACCGTTTTCCTGGGTTCTCCAAGGGCCGTGGAGCAATAGTTATCCACTGGAACCGATCCTCTGCCCCAGATGACATTGCACAATTGTCTGGAGATAGTTTAGGTTGTCACAAGCCTGGAATATCTCTGCCAACCCCTTCAAGGTCATAGGTGGGGCCACAGAGGGTAACCTGGCCCCCATGCCACTTCACCACAGATGGGGAATCGGGCCGTGGTGAGGCCCAGGGGTTGGTCCAGGGAGAAAGATACTGAGCAGAGTTTAATGAGCGCCACTGGGTTAATCAAACACTCGGCAATTAGCCTGGGGGAATTAGAGTCTTTAGACAAAGCCTCCATAATCAGGCAGCTGTTATTAAATCATCAATAGCTGTGGCCAAATTAAACCCCAGTTAAGAGAGGTTCAGCATCGACTCTCTGGTTTCCGATAGGGCAACCGAGCGGTCGCTGCTTCCCTGATGGAGGGCAAGCCCAAGACACATGTCATCGGTTCTAAACCTGGGACAGCCCTGAGCGCAGTGGGCTGGTCATCCTCACCAACTCTTGGAAGGCTCAGGACTGCATGGAGGGATAAGGGTCTGTAATTTCCAGGAGTCCAGGGGTTTGATCTCTCGACCAAGGAAGCTGCCCCAACAGTGAAGAGATGGATTAAGAGCAAGAACTCGGGGTTGCTGCCTCCCTGGTCTTCACACAGAGACCACACTGTCTGTCTGCTCCAATGCAAACCATCGGGCTGGAATGCCACTGTCTCTCAGCCTGTGTGTGTGGTGTATTTTATTCCCCATGGTAGAGGTGTTTTTTCCTAGAGGTGGGATCTCGGGGCGGGGGGGGGGGGCTGAGCTGGATGAAGTATGTCATTGGAGGCCAGTAGATCATCCCTGGCTGCTTCCTGTTTCATACTCAGTTTCCTGTTGACCAGGAAGTGAACAGTGCCCTCAGCAAATAGGGTCAACCAATCATGGGCTACATAAACCCTCTGAACCATGAGCCAATATAACTCTTCCCTGCTTGAAGTTCACAGCCATGCAAAAGTAGCTGGCATGCCACCTCAAACTGTTCACTTCCAACTGCCTTTTCGTTTCTTGACTAGGAACCCATCAACTACAGGGTATGGTGACATGCATGGAATGTCAGCCCTCGAGAGGCTGAAGCAGGAGGAGGATGAAACCAGGGCCAGCCTGGACTCCATTATAAACCCTTGACTCCTCAAGGCTGCAAGCTCACAGAGAGGTACAAGTAGGAATGAAGTCCCATGACAGAGTCTTCAGAGTCTAGTGGTATCTTTTGAAGCATCTATGATCTGTCCATGAGGCCAAGAGAGAAACTGAGGCCTAGAGATGAATACCACAACCGCCTTCTTTGGGAGGGGCAAGCCTGGTGTCAGAATCCCGCCTGGTTACTGCAGAGCCCGTGTTGGGAGCGTTTGATTCCACACGGTGTGAACAGTCTGACATCTCGTTGATTTAACAGTGCCGTGTGGGCAAACGCGAGGAGATTATCTAGGGGAGGTGTCCACGTCAGCAAACAATATCACACACGTCCCGGGCTTTGTCTGCAGTGCTTCAGATATTGACGCGGCCCTGTTTGAAGAATTCGAAGGAATCGGCTGCCTTAAGCGGGGCAGATACTTGAGTTTGGAATGCCTGCAGTAGCCACAGAAATGCATGGGTCTCAGTGCCTTGTACTCCGTCTGCACACCCACCCAGCACGCACCCCAGAGCCTCTGCAAACCTCTGCCCCCACCCCCATGCCCCGTGCATTTCTATAAAATGATATTTTATTAAATAAACAAACTGGAGCCATTCTGCAGATTTATGGACCGCTCCTCGAGTTGCACTTGTTCGACCCACTGCGGATTTACAGCCCTGCATTAACCTCCTGAGCACTTGGACCGTTTACTAAGATAATGCTGGTGGGAGAGAGAAGGGGTTTTATAGCCCAGTGATAATTAGGAGGTGCCGAGAGGACTGGGGGTAGTGGTGGGGGTCCTGGTTATTGGACATGCTGCACACAGGCCA